TGCAGACAAAAAATCAGTTATTGTCTTTGGACCAGAGTCTGGAAAAAATGAAAATGATTAGTCAGCCCTTTCATGTGGGTGGGACTAAATTGATCTCAGGTAATAAAGTGAAAACTCTTCTTTTTGATGAGGACCTGTCATATAAATCCCGTACCAAAGACTTTTCTAGAATTTCCTTCTTTCATCACCGGAATATTGCAAAAATTAGAAATGTCCTGTCCAGGGGTGATGCTGAGAAACCAGTCCATGCATTTTTTACAGTCATGAAGTCAACAAACTATAGGCAAAAGCCATCAGCTGATCCAAAATGCTGCAGCCAGAGTTATGATGAAAATGGAAAAGAGAGATCATATTTCTCCTGTATTAGCCAGAACAGAATATAAAATCTTCATTCTCAAATATTAAGGCTTAAATGGCCGAGCTCCATCTTATTTCAGAGATATGATTGTTCATTATGTTAATTACTTCTATGTTCTTCTTGTAGGTCTGCCTATGTGCCCTTGAACCTCCAGTAAGCCTCAGCAGAGGGCTGCTTATGTAAGCCAAAATCTGCTACAGTTTTTTCATTGGTTAAAAAAAATATTTTTCCTCTTAACTGTTGCTGCATGCATGGAAATCCCTAGTGAAGGGATTGCTGTAGAGTCAACAACACAATGCAAGCAAATATCTTTTTCTGCCACATGCTCATCCAGAAGGAGTGTGTCCTGTAATGGCTGTGACTTGATGCAGTGCCGGTTGAGCAAGAATGTAGTAATAGTAAAGAGAAACCAGCAGATCCAGAACCAGGTTTACAGGAAGCAACAATCCAAACTCTTCATTCTATCTGTTGCTCACTTTAAGAGGCAAAGCAGGCAAAGCACACCAATGCAATTGTTCAAGAGTAAAGTTAAGGTTAATAGCAAAATCTGCAGATAATAGCTAGCTAGATGACGCAGAATATAGCAAATAAGGGAACTTAGGTACTTCACCAGCTTAATCCTATATTAATCCTATAACTATTTAATTCAGGATAACATGATCGGTCTGTTCATTAAAAATGAAAAGAAACACTTTCCACTAAACCTCTACAATTAATGGCAGAAATCTGATCCAACTTGTGTCCGATAGGCTCATCAAACCGTCGGTGTGATGTTCAGTTCATCATCCCTAAGTCTAAATCACGCCTGTTTTGAGGATGGGTTGCGAGACGAGTGAGAAATCTTTATGAGTTGAACACATTTGGCGGATTGCATAAGCTGTACTCTAAATGTAGCTTTATGGCTTCCATATAAGGTGAAAATAGTCCCTTTAATAGAGAGGAAATGGAGTGGATGATGTAAAGGTCTATACAGAGAAAACAAGAAATAAAGCCAAGACAGGAAAGAGATAGAAGTTGGTCAAATGGGAGTGTGGTAAGAGAGGAATAAAGCAAAAAGACTAAAACAAACGCAGGGCCGGAAAGCAGGGAGAGCGAGCAAATTGGGAAGAGGAGTGGAAAGTGACAGTCGAGTTTAAACAAGAAGGAGGACACTTACATCAAATTGGACGAATCAAGTCAGCTAGGCTATTGAACAACTGTAAGATATTAATTTATGCTGTAAGTGAAAAACAAGAACAGATTCTCAAAATGAAAACTCTTGTTGGTAAAAGAATCAAAACATTCCCGGTGCAGCTGCAAGATTAAGAGGAGTAATTACAGGAGTCCCACTTGATTAGACAGTGGATGATATCAAACAAGAAATTAAAGGAGGGAAAGTTATTGATGCAAGAAGGATAAAACACAAAAGAGATGGAGTTGGTAAAGACACCCTGGCAATAATATTGCAGTTTGATTAAGTTGTTCCAGAATCTGAGCAGATAAACTTCAGGGCGAGAGAATGCATTACCAATCCAATAAGGTGTTTTGTTTGTAAAAGAATGGGACATGTGGCAAATAAGGGCAAAGGGAAAATATGGTGTGCAGGACGTGACAAAGATGCCAAAGTAAAATATTGTAACTGTGGAGGAGAACATAGTGCAGCATATGGTGGGTGCATAGTACAAAGGGAAGCAAGAAAAGCACAAAGAATAAAAAATAACAGAGAAAGTTTCATATGCCGAGGCTGCTGCCATTAAGACCTTTGTTTATAGATGTTTGAGATCGGCCTGTTTTCCAGTGTAGTCCTGTTTCTCTGACTGTGACTGGCGTGATGTGCTCTCTTCATCCTCTGACATGGGAGTTTGCTCGGAGCTCATCTGCCTGGCTGTGTGTTTCCTGGACCGGGCCGCCTTTTACAGTTGCATTTTGTATCTCTGCCTCTGTCTCCTTGAACCCCAGTCTGCCACGGCAGATGGCGCCTCACACTGAGCCGGGTTCTGTTGGAAGTTTCTTCCTATTAAAAGGGAGTTTTTCCTCTCTACTGTCACTACAAGCGTGCTTGCTGTGAGGGATTGCATTCCAGTCAATGAGTCGGTTGTTTTGAGAAAAAAAGTTTGATTTGAAACTACATGAAATGAAAAGAGAATGGAAACATAAGTAAGTTAGGGTTAAAACTAGCTTATATATTAGACATTTGTATTATTGTTATTTGAAAATGTACACAGATGGTTCAAAAACTTAAAAGGGAAATGTGGGAATAGCGATATACATTCCAGAGTTTAATATATGTATCTGTAGAGAATGAATTGACCTTCTGTCTGTATACACAGCAGGAATGGTTGGAATAATTATTAGCTTACAGTGGGTGGAGGAGGTTAGACCGGATGGGGTGCTGATTTGCACAGATTCAAAAGAAGCAATAGAAAGCATTCAACCAGAAGGAAACTATAGGAAAGACCTTTTCTTAGAAATTTATCAGAGTTTATTCAGGTTATTTAGATGTGAATAGATGTGCAGTTATGTTGGGTACCAGCACATGAAGGGGTGAGAGGAAATGAAACAGCAGATAATCTTGCTAAAAAGACTGATTACAATCCAGATTCCATTTGGGAAAGGGGAAGGTAAATAAATAAAAAAATTTTTGAAAAAAAAAACACTGAAAGATGGCAAAATAAATATATTGAAGATGAGAAAGTAAGAAGATTTAAAGATTCAAAAATCTATAATACTTAAAGATTATGGAGAAAGAAGCAGAAGGAAAGAGATAATTTCCACTGGACTGGACACACTTACTTGAATTAGTTTTTGTTTATACAAGACTGAAAGAGAGAGGATGGGGGAAGTAATTAGGGAAAAAGGGAAATAATGTAGTATTAAAGGAATTTTAGGGACAGATGGAGATAGGGAGGAAATTAGGGTAATTAATAAAGAATTGTTTTTATTTTTACATAACACAGAATGAAACAAATAGAATATAGTAGGTGGAACTTTAAAGTTACACACTCTTGTACAGTAGGTGGCGGTATGCACCTAAAAGTTGTTTTCAATCCATCAATCAAAGGAAAGAAGAAGAAGGGAGGCGTTAAAACGGACATTGCGCATGCGCTCGGAAGGTTGGTGGGTCGTCCTGTCGGTTGGGCCACGGAAGGACAGAGAGAGGAGGATTGCATGTGGATGGTCGTTTGGTGCATGGCGCGTGTTTTGAAGCTGCTTATGGAGAAATGTCTTGGGCCGTGAGTAGTGAGGAAACAGGAAGCGATTCTTGTGGGATGGAAGAGGGAAATAGTGACAATGAAGGTTGGAAGATAGCAACATCAAAAAATGAGAAAAAGCGGAAAAAACAGAGATCAGTTCAAGGGGAATCTAGTTCAGAACAATCCAGTGATGATCATTCCATACATTCCACAGCACAACAAAATGAATTCAAAGTCATATTCAAAGTCGTTAATCAGGCAGACTCTTTTACAAATTGGAATCCGGTTCACTTAACAAAAACCATCAATAAACTTGTCGGAGAAGTCAGAGGTGCCAGAATTCTGTACAGTGGAGACCTGCTAATTAACTGCAGAGACAGCGCCCAGCAAGGCAAAGCAATACGGATCAACAAAATTGACGGGATAAGAGTTCAGTGCAGCCTAATGGAGAACAAAAAGATCAGCAGGGGAGTCATTGGAGGAGTTCCTCTAAAAATTTCTGAAAAAGAGATTCTGGAAAACATAAGCGGTGCAAAAGTAAAAGAAGTAAAACGGTTAAAAACAACAAGAAACGGAGAAAGATCTGACAGTTTATCAGTGCTAATTAAATTTGAGGAAGAGCAATTACCAAGCAAAGTATTCATCGGTTACATAAGCTATAATGTCAAAATCTACAATCCTCCACCATTGAGATGTTTCAAATGCCAAAAATTCGGTCACATTGCAGCAGTTTGTAAAGGGAAACAGAGGTGTGGAAGGTGTGCAGGAGAACATGAGTACGGAAAATGTGGAAAAGAAGCTATAATAAAATGCTGTAATTGTGGTGGAGAACATACTGCTGCCTATCGCGGCTGTGAAGCAAGCAAAAGGTCTGAGGAAATTAAAAAAATGAAATTTGAGCTCGGAATAACCTACGCTGAAGCTGCAAAAAGGATCCCATCTCAGTCAGAAAAACCCAAACCTACAGTTCAACACACGGCAAATTCCAAACCTCTAGAGAATCAAAAAATTGATGAAGACTCACTTATTGTTAAAAAGACAAATTTTGTTCTTTTCATGGTAGAAGTAATTAATTGTACTGCACAGACAACAAAAAAAACGGAAAAAATCAAAATAATAGTGAAGGCTGCAGAAAAATACCTGGACATTAAAGATTTGAACTGGGAGATGGTTGGAAGTATGATGGGAGGACCGATGGGACCATCAGAAACTGGCAGAGTTAAGATGACCTAGAGTAAATTAAAATTATATGGGCAAATGTGATTTAGTATTATGTTGGTTTAAGTTACACAGGTTTTTTTTTTTTTTTTTTTTTTTTTTTTTTTTTTTTTTTTTTTTTTTTTTTTTTTTTTTTGGGTGAATCGTTTTCTGTTTTCTTGCTTTACTCCATATCAGTTGGTGGCGGTAATGCACAATTCACAAGCCTGCCAACCGCCATAAAACCCCATAAGAAGAAGAAGAAGAAGAAGAAGAAGATCACAAACCCGGAAGTTCTCTAGTTGTTGTGAGCTGTCACGTCAGGGCTGTTGGTTCCTTCTTCCTGTTGGTTCTAATGGCGGGCTCTGTAGGTCCGGTTCGAGAAAGCTTTGGACTGTGTTCCTCTGCGGTGCTGCTGCTGCTGTTAGCGAGTGTAACGGGACCCGCTCGGGCCGTGTCGGAACCGGGGATCTGGACGGTGAACACTGGCAGCGTGAGTTTCCTGTTGGAGCGGTTAGCTTGAAATGAACTGCTCTTTGATGGATGTTAGCCATTAGTAGGAGGTGAGGGTTGGCTTTAGGGGGTATCATCTAGTTCTGGAGGTCAGTGGAGTGGGTTTTGGGTCAAGTATGAAAACTGCAGCTCAAACGTTTAACTATCCACATTACAACGGTTCCAAACGGCTCAAGAGCCAAGAGAAGAAATGCTAAAAACATGCAGCAGGACCCTCTGTAGTGATCGCTAGAACCGAGTCAAACAGCTTTTTGAAGCTTCTCCAGCAGCTGAATCAGCATTTCAGTTAGTTTTAGGTCTGGACTTTGAACCCTTACTTTAATATGACATGTTAAAAAAATCCCCATCAGCATCCAGTATATGTTCAGTTTCTGATGGAGATGAAAAATCTGCTTCCTGCTCTGTTTAAGTACCAATAGTTTGTGTCCAATCTTTTAAATAAACGGTGTTATTTTTTTTTTTAATATATAAGAATTATGCTCTAATTTGTAGTTACCGATCTGTCGTTACTATATTTAATTTGACAACCCGGATCTTCTCGCCGTTGTTTTTCCTGTTCGGTTTGATTGCAAAAGTAACCAGACCGGAGCGGAGCCTGAACATTTAGAGTATGTTTGGCTCAACCTGCTGCTGTGAAGCAGGATTCTCCACCATGAACAGAATCAACAAAAAATATGGATTCAAGCACAAAATGAGCTCCTTGATATGAGCTTTAGAATGGCTTAGTCTCCATTCAAACCAGGTTTAAAGCCTTGCAGGGCAGCATAAAGCCCACTGCTCTCATGAAGCCAGAAAAAACAAACTGTCAGTTCAGGTGTTTTATAAAATATGTGAATCAGGAAATAGTCTATATAACAAACTATTGTTGTTTTCTACTTCAAAAAAGACTTTCGATTTTAAAATAGAAAAAAAATTATTATTATTATTATTATTTTTTTTTTATTAAAAAATTCAATGTATAACATGGGTGCATAAACACCACATTTAATTTCAACGTTAAATTCTGGTAAATGGTAAATGGCATGTACTTATATAGCGCTTTTTTAAGTCAGAAGACTAGACTAAAGTGCTTTACACTACATTCAACCATTCACACATAAACTCACAGTAGCAAACTACATTGTAGCCACAGCTGCCCTGGGGCTCACTTATAGAAGCGGGGCTGCCGTACACTGGCGCCACCGGGCAATCTGACCACCATCAGTAGACAATGCAGGTGAAGTGTCTTGCCCAAGGACACAACGACACTGAAAGTCGGGGCTTGAACCGTCAATCCTTCGATTTCAGGGCAAACTCCAACATCCGACGCCACTGTTGCCCCATTCTGTTTAAAGTAACAGGTCATTCAAAATGTCTCCAGACCTTTACTGGTTGATGATTTCCTTTATTCGGACCCTGCTGGTTTTTTATTGGTTACCCCAGCTATAATCTTTGGGGATGATGAACCTGCAGTAACAGGATTTAAAGGTTTTTGTATTTAGCTAAAAATAAGCCCAAACACAAATTTGAACGACACACATTTATTCAGTCCTTTCATATAGCTGAGAATGCAACAGTAACAAAATAAAAATATAATGTACATATAGACTGGTTCCTTTAAGTGGCTCTTTTGTAACGGCTCAGAAACGTCAGCAACATTAATAACAAATAAAAACAGGAAAAAAACTGAGATGTTTTGCTTTTTTTAACTAGCAAAGAACAAACTATTTAAACACCTGCTTTTGTCAAACTTATTGCATTACAATACTGATTTTCAAGGCTAATTACACTTTTTGTTGGTGAAAAAGCTCCGTATGTCTGACGACTTTTTCGGTGGCATCTTTTTTTTTTTTAAACCAACCTGTCTACTACTTTTTTATTCGCAATAAACCCTGAAGTAGCGATAAGGAAACGCCTTTGAAAATTTCTTTCAGCTGCTGGATTTCGTCTGTCGAAGCCTGAAGAAGGAAACTGATTGGACAGATTTAGTGACAGTTTTCTCTGTTTGTTTCTCTCTTTCAGGAAAAAAAAGAGTTCTTCGCTTTCAGAAAGACTCTATTCAACAGCAGCACCATCCACCTCAAAGGTAAGCTCTGACCTCCCGGCTCTAATTAGATGTCTGTCCCTGTCTGACCGCCACCTGATTCCACCTGTCCTGTTTCAACCTCAGTGCTGTCCCAGAACTGCAGCGACTCGTCTCCCTTCCAGCTGCAGATTTCTTGGTATCTGAGGAACTCTCACTGCTACAATGAGGTCTACAACAAGAATGTAAGACCCAGAGTCCTGCTGTTCTTAGAGCAGGGTCTGTGATCCATCAGGGTAGGACCTTCAGCAGATGAACGATCCTCTCAGTCACTCCATGGGTCGTTTCATTCAGTAAAACCTCATTATTAGCTTCCTGTTTCAGGCAATTAATCAGTTATTTACCTTGTGGTTAAATGACGCCCAGAGGACTTCTGCAGGATTGGATCAGTTCTGGTGTTTTATTTTCCTGTCACATTTTTCTTTACTTTCTTTTTTTCAGCTGAAAGCTGAGGAGTACTTCAGCCCAGACATGATGAGGAAAGATGGAACGGGTTCCTATGTGAACCACGACTACAAGCCAATCACCTGCAAGGAGATCAATCCACAGTCGGTGAGGACCAACCCATCAGTGCCAACGCACAGAACCGAGCGATGAAAGGAATATTAAAGCTGTTTGTTTCATGTCTCAGTTCAGCTTGTCTGAGTTGGACCTGCCGAAGCCTCTGAAGAACCAGTTACTGGAGCAAGTGGTAAGGTTCTGACTGGACTGTCCTCTTTAACTCCAACAGCAGGAAGCATCCGATGTTCAACCCAAAAACATGTTAAAGAAGTTTTGCTGGGCATAACGAAAAAATGAAATATTCGAGAAGTTGCTTGTCTTCTCGCTGCTCCACTATAATAGTCTCTATGGTGTGCATGACATATCCCATGGACAGATCGTTGCATCTGTGCTGTGGACTCTGCAGCTCCTCCCGCATTATTCTAAATCTCTTGGCTGTGTTTGAGAGGAACCTGAGAAGCCTTTAACTCTTTAGTGCTGACAGGTTTTGGATTGTTTTCATAGTTAAACAAGACTTACCTGTTGGATCACATTCATATCCAAACATGGTCTGATATTTGGCTCCTGGAGCTGCATCAGTAGGAAAGTTAAGTTGGAGTCAGTGAATGCATGGAGGCCCAACCTGCATTAAAGCCTCTATCTGCTGTGACTAACGGCTGATCAGATTCATTCCTGGTTCTGACTTATTTCTGATTCTGTGCTGATTCTATTTCATTGCTTCATTCTAAATCTGTTTATCTTCAGGTTGGCACAGTAAAGCCATCTCAGCGGAAGAAGAGGGAAATAAAAAAGCCAGAACCAAAGGTACAATGCTCCAATTAACATAAACATTTTCTGTAAAGGGTGACGGTAAACTAGCACCATGGGTGGCTCTGTCCAGGAATGACAGTTAATCAAACAAGCAGTGAACATTTTTCATGTCAAAAATGTGAAACAGTGCTCATACAGTTAATCACAGTAAAAGCTAAGCCCACAGTGGAAATAAATCGCATGCTGTCTAATAATTCTACCGATTGGGAGCATATATATAGTAAAGAGAATTGATCCTGGCACTGATCCTTGTGGTACTCCACAGGTAACTCTGGAGAATGAGGAAGATTTGTCATTAACGTGAACAAACTGAAATCGGTCAGATAGATAAGATTTAAACCCTTCTATAATAATACTATGATCATACTACTGTGTGAAATGCAGCACTGAGATCTAACAGGACAAGTACAGATACAGGTCCATTATCTGAGGCCATGAGAATATCATTAGTGACTTTCACAAGAGCTGTTTCAGTGCTGATGAGCTCTAATGCTGCGTTCACACCGGACGCAGCTGGAGCGACAGAAGCAGTGAGTTTACATGCAAAGTCAATGGTTGACGCGCGTCAAGGCGCAGCAAAAGGTCCCGCGGCGCGTTTTGAGCAGCAGGTGCAGCGCGTCTGAGCAGCTGACGCGCCGCAAACGCGCTACTGCTCGAGATGGAAAAATTAAATCTTTGCTGCTCGACGCGCCGCGTCAACCAATCAGAGAAGCTGATCTGGGAGCTGGCTGGGAGAGAGACACAGCGCTGATGACACAGACCGCTCTGATCACTCCTCTTAAACAGTTTATTAACGCATAATTAACTTAAAATGCATACATCTGCCGGCAGAATATGTTCGCTTTTATTATCCTGCTGCCTGCAGATCGGATTATTTAGATGAAAAACACCTACCAGCCGCCGAGGTGAACCGCGAGGAGGCGACCCGGCCAGAGGCTGCTGTTGAAGGGATTCCTTCTGTCGGCGCACCGCTGGTATGTGGGGGTCTCAGCGGCTCCGACAGAAATAACATTGGGAGGCAGGATTGTAATCTGGATGAACTAACTGCACTGATGAAGTTTTCAGGTGTATTTTCTCACTTAAAAACATATTAAAACTACTTTATTCCCACTGATCACAGCAAATTGAATTGAAAAATTGAATTGAATTGAATTGAATATAGCTGCAAGGCAGAGAAAGGATAGTGAAGCTCCGCCCAACGCGCGTCAGAGCCACTTTTGCACCGCGCAGCCAGAGCAGCAAAGCTGCTTCAGCCGCGCGTCAGAACTAACTGGTACAAGCAGCAAAAACGAAGCAGCAGACGCGATTTTGCTGCTTTTGCTGCGTCCGGTCAAAACGTAGCATAAGACATGATTGAAACTTTTCAACCAAAAGGTCATTATAGTGTTACAGGGCTCGATGTTAACCATTGCCCGATCTCTCGGGGCAAGTAGTTTTTATTGTCGGGAGAGTACAAATTTTATTGCATTTGCCCGCCGGGCAAGGGCAATGATCGCAAAAAAAATTATTTATCACTTAAAATTACTTTAAAATCACCGACATTCGCTGAAAACGACCCACAAGCGTTGCCGGCACCATTTTTGTTGTTTTGTACACATTCTCTCGTGATTTGAAAAAGCCGCGTGATTTTCCGCTAGATGGCGTGATTCAGCTTCTGGGGGAGAGAATTCTGCAGAGCAGCAGCTGGATGATGAACTTAATCTATACTATAATACACGCTAGATTAAAAATGATCAGTCAGGGATTAGAAAAATAATAATAATTGTATGTGCACAGTGTAAATATTTCTATCATATGGCAGTCTTCTGTACAGGGATGCAGGTCATACATTAAAAAATGTTCATTAAATTTTTTTCTCTGAGACATTGGAGTGGTGCAATTAAATATTATAGAGCTAAACATGTATATACACACCAGGAACCTGTAAACTTACTGAATTACAAAAAACCTTTATAAAACAAACATGTTTCATTGAGATATATATACAAAAATTAATATTAGGAACTATATTTATCAAACATTATACTGGGCAAGTAAAAATTGTTTCTGGGCAAATGAAATGAGAAAGCGACTTGCCCTATGGGCAAGTGGTAAAAATCCTTAACGTCAACCCCTGGGATACACTTTATTTGTAATGCAATTACGATTTAAGATGCATCAAATTGCTCACACACTTGTTTAGCAACTATTTTCTCAATAATTTTAGATAAGAAAGGAAGATTGAATTTAGGTCTATTATTGACCAAGTCATTTGGGTCAAGGGACGGTTTCTTAAAGGTATAGTGGAGGATGTTCTTTTTCTGGGTGGATCATCAAAATAAGCGGTCCTTCTAATTGTTAACTATTCTGGTTATATGTTGACGCAAAGCCGTCCTACGTGCTCGTCCCCATTTTCACTTACTGGTGGTGAGTCTGACATAGAGGAAAAATTACAAATCTTCTTTGAAAAGTAAGCTTGTATTAGCGATGCAAACGGCACCTTTTAAACAGCGCGTGCACGAGGAGAAATGGGCTGTGCATGCGCTTAATAGACATTGCCTCTCTGGAGTGGGTATAGGGTTATACATGTGCTTTTTTTTAAGTGGGGAGTGCATTTTTTTTTTCTTTTCAATAATTTGCAGTAACCCTCCACTATAGCTTTAAGTAAAGGCTGATTACCGCATTTAAAGCCTATGGCACATATCTCTGTAACAAGGATAGATTAATTACATATAAATTGGAGGAGGAGATCAGAGGGAATACTTCCTTAAATAATTAGGTTGGAAATGGATCTAAGATACAAGTTGAAGGCTTAGATTAAGATAATAGTTTTGCCAAGAGTGAAACTTCAACTGGATCAAAACATTTATTAAATAGCTACGTTCTATTTTTTTTTAAACAGCTGTAATGAAAGTTAGGTCCTGTGTTCCGGAAGCTCTTCAGAGCTGTCTTCTCCCATTTGGTTTTCTAACTTTTTGAACCTTTTTTTTTTTATAATTGTTTAAATTATGAAATATTGGAGAATGTGGATGGATCTTCTTCTTCTTTTCTGTTCCTCAGGCTGCTGGCTCCTCCAATAAGGTGAGTATGGTTGTCTAAAATGTATTTATACTCTGAGCTGCCTGGTTTTATTGGTTTGAAGGCTTAGAACATGACGGTAACTGTGGTTTTTCCCTCAGACGACCCCCCGCTCCGACTTTGACGTTGTGGCCAGGTCCTGGGAGGACGGAGCCTACCTGTTTATCATCAAAGTGGAGAAGCAGCAACCTGGCGGGACTCTGCAGCGTCAGTTCACACACACACACACACACACACCCTTCTGATCGGGGCAGACGGCTGCTGTTACTGCTCACCTCAACCAGCCTCTGTTTTTGTTTCCAGTTCAGGTCAGCATGAAGGGTCCTCATGGCTTTATCTCAGCAACCGAGTGGCCTCTGATGGTGGTAAGAGCGCACAGAAAAAACAGGAAGCTAATTCCGCTTAGATTAAACCAGATAAACAGAGCTAACCCATACCCCTTATCACCAATACATGATGAGAAACTACTGAGCAAATGAACTCACTGAACTCAGTATTAAAGGTACAAGCTGACGTCATGCACCAACCTGTTCTACAAGCATCTCTAAACCAGGGTTCCCGCGGATCCTTAGAAAGTCTTAAAAGGCATTTAATTCTTCAAAATAAAACTAAGGCCTTACTGGGTATTAAAATGTCTTAAATCAGTCTTTCGTACGTCTTAATTTTTAAAACATCATAAATAGGATTATTTATTTTTGTAATCTAAATAAAACGTTAAAATTGACACATTTTTTTTTTTATTTAAAAAAAAAAAATGGCTTGCCATTACTGGTTCCTTCCCAATAGCGGAACCAATAAAAAATTAGTTGCGGCCGGGACATTTGGGAGATGCGCCATTTACTTTTTGTCTGGAAAATATGAGCAATTGTAAATGTAAAGAAAATTGGCTCCAGCCAAGAGTTTTCTCCATGGCTAAAACCAGAACCAGGGAACATACATGAGGCTCAGTGGATTTTGTGCAAGAAGCGATTCAAGCTCGGAACGACGGGAATTAAGGCAGTGGAAGCGCACATGCGAAGCACGAAACACAAAGCGTCAAAATGGAGTTACTGAGAAACAGCCGGTATTTCTCAGTTTTGTTCCACCCTTGTCTCTGCAACGCCTCCACTTATCACCAAATCAAACATACTAAGAAAACGAAACAAAGAAAAATAGCTGCAAAAAAGGCTTAGCACTGGTTATGTTGTGGCTTTAAAACTGATTTGTTTTGTTCCCTGCTAAAACAAAGGTTGTGAATTCAGTTAAATAATTTTTTTAATATATCTGTCATTTGTGTGTTTTTAGCTTTCTTCCTGTATGGGAAGTTTTTCAAAGTTTGAAACATTAGTGGAGTGGTTTATGTTAAAATAAACCTTTGGGTTAAGTTGTGGCAAGCAGGTTTTTCTTGTGTTTCTTGTGAATTTGGTCTTAAATTTTTATTTCAAGTGGCATTAAAAAGACTTAAAAAGTTTTGAATTTAACTTGCCTTATGCTATAGGAACCCTGTAAACAGAACTAAAACTAACCAGTGTTTCCTGAATACATCCGAATAAAGAGTCATTAATCCTCATTATGACTTTTTGGTGAAACACCAACTCAGAATGCAGACACAAATAAAAACATGAATAAAGATAAAAATGTAAATGCCTCAGAACATTAAAAGTGCATAGTCATTTTAGTTAAAATTGTTTTATTATCACAGCTGTAGCTCACTCTGGTTGGACTCAAAGGTTTTCCAAAAGATTCCTGTGTCCTGTTGGCACATTATTTGTTATTTTGTTTTTTTTTGCTCTGTCTTTTTGCTCAATTTGTTAGTAAATAAAGTCCTTAGTCGGAGCTGGGCATCTCAGAGTAACAAAGTCATCTCCATGCCTTGTATTCTTTCTGCCCATCCACTGACCCCGAACCAATCAGCACAATTTATTTCATCGTGCAGGTTGGATTCATATTTACAATCACAGTGGAGGTACGATACTACTCCTGAGTGCAGGGGATTATCAAGGAAGTAGCCATTAGCACCTTTTAGCGAAGTGTGACAATAATGAAGAGAAGACAAGATCTGGTTTAAAAAACAAAAAAGAGGAATTTCTGTGTTACCAAAGGAACGATGTGTAGTGAAGTAGGAGCTAAAGCAGCCGAGGCGTCTGCTCTATTTAGTGGTCACCATCTGGCTTTCTGGTAACTCTGCGGTACTTCCAGAGGATGGCGCCACATCTGTTTATGTCTGGTTTTTGCACCGTGTGCTGGAATTCTATTTAGGCTCAGAAGGCACAATCTAAACACTAAGCTTTTGTGATTATAACCTTATATTTTTCAGGATTAAAGTCTCTTTTTGTATAGGCGTATAACAAGACTATGCATCCTAAGCTCCCTTTGCATTTTACCGTATCCAGGAATATTTGTAGTCCCGCTTCAACAGAAGTCCAGAAGATAGAAGAAAGATGAGCATCAGCAAGGGTGGAGCCGTTCACTCTTTACTTGTGGAGTGATGGAGAAGGTCTGGACTAAAAAGAAGAGAATATGCCATTATGGTTAGGCTGATTGGGTCAATTTGAAATGGAAACACAGCAGAGGTTTGGCAGACACTAAATCAACAGACCTCGATCCTCTAGAAGCAATCGCAAGAAGGAGCAGGGCTTTGGATGTTTGGATTTACAGCTGGTTTCTCCTCCCTGAGCACTGTCCCTGCCTCTGTCTCCAGTTCTACATGGTGATGTGCATCATGTACGTGCTGATGGCCGTGCTGTGGTTGGTTCTGTCTGCTTGCTACTGGAGGAGCCTGCTCAGGATCCAGTTCTGGATCGGAGGCGTCATCTTCCTCGGGATGTTGGAGAAGGCGGTTTACTACGGCGAGTTCCAAAGCATCAGATACGAGGGTTTGTCGGGTAGGTGAGCGATTTAAGTCTTTATCCCTGCAGCTGTTACTCAGAGTAAAACCATTGAGCTGTGGGTGTCCTCCTGCAGTCCATGGGGCGGTAGTGTTTGCTGAGGTGCTGTCAGCCGTGAAGAGGACATTGGCCAGGGTTCTGGTCCTCATTGCCAGTCTGGGATACGGGATCGTCAAGTGAGTAAGAGAAGAACAGTTTCTATTATTATTAGGAAGCCTTAAAATGGAGAATAATTTCCTTCACAATAAAAGCAACTAAAATACTTTCTATTCTAGTATAAGCCTGGAAAAATGGTAAATAAAAAGAAAATAAAATGTCATATATCATTGTAATTTAAAGCCTGTTTAGCTGCAGTTCTGTTTCTCTTTGCAAATCTCAAATTTAGGAATGGACTGATACAGATTTTTTTTAAGGCCAATAATCTTTTTTAAGCAGATGTAACTCAGAGCACTTTTTTATGTCTGAAGTTCAAAAAGTTTAAAACAGCTGGTTGCCTTTAAAAGGATTTGTTTATGTTTCTGAATAGTGTGAAGGATTGCTGCGGAGTCAATTAGTCGATGCAATCAGCTGGTTTTCTTTAGATGGACCATGTTTGTGTTTTAGACCCAGACTTGGCGCCTTGATGCACAGAGTCGTCGGGGTCGGCCTGCTCTACCTGCTCTTCTCCATCATCGAGGGATTGCTGCGAGTCAACACTGTGAGTCCCTGAGACCCGTGGGCTCTACTCTAGTCGGTCTCTGGTGTCTGACCTGTGTCTTCTTGCAGGATCGGGGGAACGACGACAGCAGTCTGATTGTGTGTGATGTTGTGCTAGCCTTGACTGACTCCTGTATTGTCTGGTGGATATCCTTTGAAGTTGTCCCCTGATAAAGAAACTAAATGAAAATGGGAAATGGGAATTAAATGAGAAAATTAATGAGAAATCAGAATGGTTCCACTGTTTTCCGGTCAGCTAATAAGTCAAGCAGCTTTTCCTGCAGAGCTTCCTACTTGCTTTGCCCTATCCATCTTTCCTTCAGTTGTGACTGATCTTCTTGTCCCTAACCCCACAGCATAATGCTGCCACCACTGTGGGGGGCTGTGACCACTAGGAGCTAATAAGGTTAAGCCTCGTCTATCATTGTTAAATGTGCTGTTGTTCGAACTTCAATTTGAAAACAGACGAAGAAATAATCTTGGAAATCCCATCCAACCAATCGCAATAACTATGCGAGCGAATCCCAGACTTAGACTTGAGATTTTGACAATGTTTATTGTAATTTTGTATACACAGAGTGTATACAAAACTAAATTTAATTTAATACAGCTTTTTAGACACTAAATTATCATTTCCATCCCATAAAATTCAGCAGTGATCAAATGTAAACAGTGTGGGAGAAAAAACATGGTGCAAAAAAAACGCACCATGGCTGGTGACTGAACACACTACTATCTCCTTTATTTTTCCCTTATTCTTTCCATTTCTCCCTCTTTTCATGTCTTTGATCTTTTATTCCCAAATCTCCTCTTCTTCCACATCCTTTTCTTTCTTCAGGTTGAAGACGATGTTGCTCTTCTGGCTGCTATTCCTCTGGCTGTGCTCGACTCTGCCCTCTGCTGGTGGATATCCACTACTGCATTTTACAAACAGATTTTGCTCATGCCTTTTTTTCTTATTTTCAAGCTTAATCTGTTTTTATGAGTCTTGGCATGTTAATGTTCCCTGTAAGGTTTTTTCTGACCAGTGTTTGACCATTTAATCCCAGCTGTATGATTTTAATTTTAGCAGTGATCAATTAACCAGAAATAGATCGATTCCAGAGAAATCTTTGCCCTGAGGTCAAAATCTTCTGATGGCCCTTGACCTTTACTTCACATATTTGTGAGTTTGGCTCAGACAATGAAGTTGCTAAAGCTGAGGAGGAACGTGGTGAAGCTTTCTCTCTTTAGACACTTCAGCAACACACTCATCTTCGCCGTCATTGGTGCGTAAACGTCTTCTCCAGCTCAGTATTCTCCCCAAACCTTTTTTTGCCTTTTTAAACATTGTCTCTGCTGCTTTCAGCCTCTGTCATCTTCATCATTTGGACTGCAAAGAACTTCACCATGTCCCAGTGTCGCTCTGTAAGAACCTTCACCTTCTCTACGCACCGTCTGCCTGGCTTACTGACGAGATGCATCACAGGCTCTGATTGGATGTTCTTGTTCTTTGTCAGGACTGGAGAGAAGTGTGGATCCAGGACGCTTTCTGGCGCTTTTTGTTTTCCATCATACTGTTGGTCATCATGTTCCTATGGCGACCATCTGCCAATAATCAGATGTAGGAGCTGTTTTTTGGGGGGGTTTCAGGGTCCATTTTTTTAGTCTGCAGTTTTAAATGAAACCAGTTTTTGATTTTCAGGTACGCCTTCAGCCCCCTGGTGGATGCAGAGAGCGAAGACGAGGAGGAGAAGGAGCCCATGATGAACGAGGCTTTTGGTCAGAAACCTTCATTGCTTTGCTTTCTTACTTTTACACTTTCCTTGCGGTCCCGCAGGATGTATTTATTTTCTGTCTTTTATGATATGAAGCTGAAATTAACAGCCAGAACCAATTTAGTAAACAAATAATTAAATCGTGTACTGAGCAAGTCAAGAGAGCAGAACACAAAACTAATCATTCAAATCCTCCAGACAGATTCTAAAAAAGTTTTGTCTCCATGTTGTTTGATTTGTTTTCTCTGATTGGCTGAAAACGAACGGTTTCATTTCCGTCTGCTTAAAATCAGATTGACTTTGTTTGAAGTCCAAATTACGTTTTCTAACATGTAAATTAATTTCCTAAACTACAAAGGAAAACGGTTTTTGAAGCTTTTCTGGACGAATGAATCTGCTGCCTTTGCTTTTACATAACTGCCATGAAAAAAGTAGGAAGAGTCAGAAATGAAGACAGGGTTCTGTATTACCAGTAGTCTTGGCTCATCTTCTCCTTCTCGGTATGTTGTTTTTTTCCTTTAGAAGGGATGAAGATGAGAGGAGCAAAGAACGAAACCAACGGAACGGGCAGACCCAACAAAGTGGTGAGTTTTTTAAAAAGATTGGTTGCTTTTTCTCAGAGACAAACAGCCGCTCTCAGTTTTGGTCCAAAACAAACTGATTCTACCTTTATTCTGTTGAAACAAGGACGAGGATCTGAAGTGGGTCGAGGAGAACATCCCATCGTCTATGGCAGACATGTAAGCCTCCTTTTTTAGCACAATGATCTAAATGAATAGATTCAAAGTTAGGCTGAACGTTTCCCCCCCTGTTCCCTGCAGGGCGTTGCCCCCCCTGCTGGACTCGGATGAGGTGAGTTCCTGTTCTAATCAATAAGAGCCAAGTAGAACCTTCCTGTTTTTCATCAACACTGGAAATGCATAGTATTCTTACCAGACCAATACTGATTGGTCAAGACCAGATTCCACTGGTTCCTTTCCAACCACAATCCTGTGCTTCATAGCTCAGTGGGAAGAAACAAATCTTTTACTGGAGGGTCAGGACCCCCACAGGGGTCACAAAATAGTTTCTCACAATCATTTAGAGCAGATCCCTGAGGAATATGGAGGGCGGAATATATGTAATGAAACACATATAATACATATATAAAACAATGTTTATTTTTCTTAGACATGATTCACATAATGAAGGCTGTTACATTTAAACATACAGCATTAAATAATTCACTGTCCATTTAAAAAAATATCCAATTAACATTGATAAATCAATGAATTGAGGCACCCTGGTTTTAGAAGCATTTCTAAGGTGTTTCCTGCCAGGTCTCTGCAAATCTGTACAATCCAAAGAGATCCATCCATCCATTTTCCTTCACCCTTATCCTAAGCGGGGTCGCGAGGGGTGCTGGTGCCTATCTCCAGCTGTCAATGGGTGAGAGGCGGCGTCCACCCTGGACAGGTTGCCAGTCCATCGCAGGGCAACACTGAGACAAATAGGACAAACACTCACAACTAAGGAGAATTTAGGGAAGCCAGTTAACCAAACAGTCGTGTTTTTAGACTGTGGAAGGAAGCCAGAGTACCCAGAGAGAACCCACAGATGCTCAGGGAGAACATACAAACTTAATTCAGATAGACTCTAGGCCAGGAATCGAACCCGGAACCCTCTTGCTGCAAGGCAGCAGTGCTACCCACTGCTGGTTTTGAGCAGCCCCAAAGAGATTCAGTCCAGCTAAAAAACATGTTTAAAAAACAAACAAAAAAAAACCTCATCAATGCTAAATATCTAAACCTTTTTAAAACGAGGAAGCTTATATTTCCTTCTATAAGATGTTGATATTTTGAAACAATTTTATGATAAAAATGAACCTAATGACAAAACAATTCCTGAAAATATGGATTACAGGTACTTTAGTCATTCGTCCAGAAGTTCAATGCAGTCATTTCATGAGGAAAAACCTGCATTAGTTGGATCCTTATATTCAATGGTATCCGTTCCTTATAATTGTTTTAGTCAAAGTGTTATGAATTTTTTTTAAAGGTCAAAAAAGCCACAGGTTGCAGACCTCTAATCTAGAAGGCCAGTGCAGTGGGCCGATTGAGTCCTGACTTAAGACCAGATGCAGTTGTCTTCAGTCGGCTCTGGTGGGACCATCTGTGTGCAAACCGGCTTTTTATCATCTACTCTACAAGTGTGATGTTTATGAGAGAAGAAGAAGAATGTCCCAAATGCCCAGAAAACACCTGGAAGAAGCAGGATTTGTCACAGATGGTCATTACTGCATCGCATGTCTGAACACATTTTCTCCACATTGGAACACGGTGGTGGCAGCAGTATGCTTTGGGGAGTAGGTCAGAGTTGACGGCAGGGTAGATGGAGCTAATTTGAGGAAGAGAAAAACTGTACGATACCAGAGAGAGAGGTGGAGGTTCTCTGCCTAGAAGGAAAGCACCCTGAACTTCCAGTCAGAGGTTTCCATCAGAGCTGATTAATGGACTAGTCAATGTACAGACATTATCTGAGACCAGACCTCAGAACTGGTTTCCTCAGATGTTCTCCTTCCTGCCTGAATCAGCTGGAGATCATCTTTAAAAAATAATTTCAGTGTTAGATATTTAAATCTGATAGAGATGTACAGCTCTTCCAAGAGGTCTGCAGACTCCACACTTCTTGGTTTATTTCTGCATTTCAAACTGTAGTTCCCTTCAGCTTCCCCTCAGTAAGCGATTAAAATGGAATTTAAAATGGACCTCCAGAACGAAGACGATCAGCCGAAGCAGTTTCAGTTCCAGATTAGTGGAGTTCTGCCTCTGAGCAGCAGGGGGCGCCAAGCACCCAGAAGTGTCACCATGGTTACATCATGCTGTTGTTTATTCTCCCTGTTGTTGTCATGGCGACCAGAACAATGTGACGACAGCAGACTTGTGTTGCTGCAGCCATCATTAATCGGACTGAGAGCTAGAATCAGAACCGGGTTGATTATTGATCCAGTAAATCCTGCTGCCTTCAGAACACGTCCTGTTTTTTATGTTTGGATTTTAGTTCCTCCCAGACCATTTTCCAGTCAGATTGGATGTTTGTGACGGAGTAATGCTCTAATCTGCAGAGAGCCTCCAATGTGAAATCAGCTGCTTACGTAAGCTGCTGTTTGAGCCGACGTCTAACTGCTCTGAAAATATGAAGTCTGTCTTGAGGAGGAGACCGTTCAGGTGGAGAGCTTATCGTCACGCTGTCCATCATCAACAAAACAAACCGTATATTAAAACTCACTGATGAATTTAGAGGGATTGCTTTTCTCAGGTTTCTGGTAGATTAAGCATCACGTTCCTGGGAATGAGCTAGATGAAGATAGAACCTGAGTTTTAAACTGTCCATTTAATTACAAATGATGTCATCGATCCTGATCGACAAAAGCAGAATGTTTCCTTCCTCCTCCTGCTGCCTGGAGCTTCATCTCCGTTTTGTCTGAAAAAATGAATCCCTTTATCCTGGATTTACAGCCTGACAGACACCAAGCGCCTGTGCTGCTTGGTTTCTCCTTCTTTGTGAACCTTTTTGTTTTGTAAAACCTCTTCAGTTGATCAGATATAAATACACCTCATACAGTCTGTCCTCACAGCTTCCAACCTGCTCATTGTTGCTGGACATTCACCAGATGATCATTTGAGTCCTCATTGCTTTCTAATAATCCCATTATGGAAAAACATGCAGTAATTATCAGGCCTTAACTATATTTCATTCCTTTCATTGATCTGAGTGTGTGGATCCCTCATTAGTAATCTGGTGGGAACAGTGCTGGGAATGTTACTTTTGAGGAGTTACTAGTTAAAGCTACATGTTAATTATCCCAAAAAGTAACTCGGTTACTAAGTCAGTTACTGCATGACCAAGGTAACTATATAGATGCATATTAACAATCAAAGGTTGGTGAATTTGTAACACTTTCATTTTATCATAACTTAAAACCCACTGAGTTAAAGTTAATCAAATATTAAAATTTTAATATTTAATCTATTTATGAATGAAAATGAGTAAATATGTATTTCTGTATAATTCAAGAACTCAAGAAGCTTCAAAAAGGAAATAAATATACGGTGCGCAGAATTATTAGGCAAATAAGTATTTGACCACATCATGCTTTTCATACATGTTGTCCTACTCCAAGCTGTATAGGCTTGAAAGCCAACTACCAATTAAGTAAATCAGGTGGTGTGCATCTCTGTAATGAGAAGGGGTGTGGCCTAATGACATCAACACCCTATATAAGGTGTGCTTAATTATTAGGCAACTTCCTTTCCATTGGCGAAATGGGTCTAAAAAGAGATTTGACAGACTCTGCAAAGTCAAAAATTGTCAGATGTCTCTCACAGGGGTGCAGCAGTTTGGAAATTCCCAAGTTTTTGCAGCGAGATCATCGAACAATCAACGGTTCATGGCAAATAGCCGACAGGGGTGCAAGAAGCGCGTTGAAAAGAGAAGATGTAAAATAGCTCCCCATGAATTGGGAAGGATCAAGCATGAAGCTGCTAGGAAGCCATTAGCCACCAGTTGTGCCATATTTTAGAGCTGCAACATGTATGGAGTGCCAAGAAGCACAAGGTGCTCAATACTCAGGGACCTGGCCAAGGTAAGGAAAGCCAAAAAAAAGGCCACCTTTGAACAAGACACACAAGACAAAACGTCAACATTGGGCCAAGAAATATCTGAAGATTGATTTCTCCAAGGTGTTTTGGTTTGATGAAATAAGAGTGAGTCTTGATGGGCCAGATGGATGGGCAACAGGCTGGATCAGTAAAGGGCACCAAGTTCCTAATCGACTCAGACGCCAGCAAGGTGGAGGTGGGATACTGGTATGGGCTGGTATCATCAAAGATGAGATTTTGGGACCTTTTCAGGTTGGTGATGGAGTCAAGATCAACTCCCAGACTTACTGCCAGTTGCTGGAAGACACCTTCTTCAAACACAAGAAGTCACCATCATTCAAGAAAAACATGATATTCATGCAGGACAATGCTCAGTGACATGCATCAAAATACACCACAGCGTGGCTGGCTAGAAAAAGTCTAAAGGGAGAAAAAATAATGACATGGCCCCCTTGTTCACCTGAATTGAACCCTATGGAGAACCTGTGGTCCTTTATGAAATGTGAGATCTACAGGGAGGGAAACGGTCCACCTCTCTGAACAGTGTCTGGGAGGCTATGGTGGCTGCTGTACCCAATGTGGATCGCAAATGGATCAAGACGCTGACAGAATCTATGGATGGAGGCTTTTGAGCGTGATGGTAAAGAAAGGTGGCTTTATTGGTCACTGATTTGTTTGTTTTGTTTTGTTTTTGAATGTCGTAAATGTTTATTTCTGAATTTTGAGTTATATTGGTTTACCTGGTGAATATTTGGCCATATATATATATATATAAATATATATATATATTTTTTTTTTTTTTTATTACGTTGCCTAATAATTCTGCACAGTAATATTTACCCGCACACACAGACATCCTTATAAAATGGCCAAATCTAAAAAAAAAAAAAAACACAACTTCCAAAAATATGAAACTTTGATATTAAGGAGTCTTTTGGGTTGTTCGAGAACGCAAAATTGGCCCAAAAATAAAATTAATAATACAACTTGCCTAATAATTCTGCCCACAGTGTATTTGATGACTATTATATTAACAGCAAGTAAGAAAATGGTTATCACAAGACAAACCAACTTTAGACGACTGGAAAGATATAACATATAAAATGGAAAGAATAACTGTCTCTCTCAATCATAAGGCTGGACAGTTCTGTCACTGGTGGCAGATTTGGGTAGACTATGCAAAACTTAAAAGTTCTGATTTTAGTTTTAGAGACCTAACTTGATTCAATTTCCTGGAAAATCCACTCTTCTATGAGAGCAATATTTCATAATTATTTTATACTGTTACAATACAATGGCCTACTTATTTAAAATGTTATAATTAATCTTGTGATGTAGAAGCCTACGTTTTTGTAAATGATACTTTCTTGAGAATCAATAAAGATAAAAAAAAGTAAATATCAAAAACAAACTATGCAATGTGTTGTGAGGTCAGGACACCAGTAAGTTATATATAAATATATTTATATTACTTTTATTGTGATATTAACACTTGATTTACAATCACCTGAAGACGGGGTATGTCGCTCTGATATACTGTCATGCTGATATACTGTTATACTGTTTGATGCTTTTTTTTCAATAAAGTGGATGCTAACTGAAAGTAATAGTCTGTCCCCCTCCGTAATAACAGTAATTATTTAGTGATAGTAATCACATTTATTTGTTTTTTTTAATGATGTATTTCTGCCAAATGTGCCCTCTGTGTTTAACCCATCCCTGATTGAGCAGTTTGCCAACTGCATTCTGAGGCCATAGGTCCCAGTCTGGGTTTTGACACCGGCAAACTTATGTGAATGCCCTGCTCTCTGACCCATGGCCAGCATTATCCAGCTTCATTTATTTAACACTACATCACATAAGATGTGTAAGAACTGGTCTAAAAGCTGATAATAAGGGTCAGATGGAAGGTAAAGTTATTTTATTACTAAATGCTAAAGGTTAAATGTGCAAAGAATTGCAGCTATTAGTAATTGGCTTTGGACAATCCTTAAACTGGACTAAAAGAATAAACCTGAGTTTTGAACTAATTTTAATCGAATTTATTACTTTATTTTTCTTCCTCCTCAAACTCAACATTCATTTTTTTCTTACACTTTTGTTCAGTTAATCTGTTTCTCTGACTCTAGGCTTAAATACTGTTGATCAATACAAAAGCAAATTTGGTTGTAAAGGTTTCATCTCCACTGTTCTGGGCTAGAGAAGCTTGGAAGCTGGACCAAAAAAGTTAAAAACAGAACACTGGACTTTGTTTCCAAGTTTAAAGATGTTTCGCTTCCCATCCAGGAAGCTTTTTTCAATTCAGATGTCAGAAATAGTGTTGAGTTTGAGGCTTTATGCGGTAGCCCAACAAAGCCTTGTTTTTGTGTAGAAAACATGCAAATTGCAACGGACGAACGGGTCTACCCCTTTGGAATGGAGGTTATTTGGCTTCTTCTGTTAGCCTGCAATGCCCCATACCCGTCTATGTCTCTGAAAGGGAGTCATTTAAGAAAATTGTTGTCCTGGCTTAAAAAGTGGGGTCTTCTGTTCCCCTATAAAGAGGTTGGGTTTGCGATGATAGCGGGAAGGGATCAACTTAATTGCTGCATTGTAGGTTTTGGAAGCTTTTGAAAACTCCACCCGCTCTGTTGCCGGAATGAACCATCTGAACGTTGCTTTCTCTGTTTCAGGAAACTCAAACAACCAAGTTCGAGATGTCCAAGATGGAGTGAAGTTGGAAGGGGGCTCATGGTGTGGAAAAAGAGAGAGCGGGTTTCATCAAGTGAAGAAGGAAAGATGAACCGGGGGATGAATGAGAAACAGAGTGATTTTTTTTTTTAAGGCAGAAATATCCTTGTGTGGTTCAGCTCCTGGATTTATGAGCTTCATAAGCCTTCATCGTCCAGATACCGGGAGCTGAATCGTCCACAGCTGTACACAAGGATCCCTTTATTTTTTATTTTTATTGCCTGTTTGTATTTATATTGTATGGATCGCCTCTCTGTATTTACAGTATATTTAAACGAATCTGTTTTCTGCAGCACCGCCCTGCTGGATATTTGCTGGTCAGGGTTTGTTTTATGGTCACATTAAAGAGTCTGTGTGTCTGGATATTTTTCAACCTGTAAAGCCAAAGGGATGAATCAGAGAGAAAATGTGGATAAATAATTCTGTTTCGTTTTGCAGTTTCAGCCAATAAAGCTTTTCACCTTCACATGATTTTTGCTGCAACTCATTCACTTCATGCCTAACTTGTAGGCTTTGTACGCTAAATGGGGCTGATTGTTTTAACCAGTATGCTGCTGAAGATTCTCAGTCATCATGGTCATAGTCATTCCAAAATAGTAAAAAACCAATCCACTGGACTTTGTTTCAAAGTTCCAAGACTTGAGATGTGCTTGGGAGAGGGAGCATTTCAGACCCCAACCAGAAAAAAGAAAACGGCCCCAATCACGCCTTCCCACCCTAGTGCCCCCATGCACACCACACAGTCTCTGGAAAGATGAGCAGAAAACACCCCAAAAAAACGCAGATGCACATTCACAAGACACTCGCATCCAATAATTCCAGGACAAAGGATTCGGCGGCACTGGTGGACGGTCTTGGGATTATCGGATGACTCAATAAGTCAACCTAAAATCCAGATCAGGATACACTAACCCATCTCCTTCCTGCCTCGGGCCTGGCCCCCCACCCCGCACCCGATAAGCCCCACACGCCCCGCCCAGGCTACCCAACCAGAGCGTCCCCGCCCCCCCAATCCTGTCCATCCAAAAAGGAGGACGGCATGGACCAGGACAGGGTGCCAGACCCGCAGCCCTTCTAACATCCACATCCCACCACCACCACACCTCCCCACCGGAAATGTAATCCCTTATTAAACAATAAACCACTCACCACATATGCAACAAAAGACATCCAGGCCGGGATCATTCCCACTCCCCCTCCCTCCCCTTCCCTGACTAGCAGAGTAGAGTACAAACCCCTGAGGGGGTAAGCATCTACCATAAGGTGTTAATGTCCTTGCACCCCCACCGACTCAACAGGCCCAGATACCCCGGCAGGGCCAGACCCCAAGCAGCACTACCCACAGAACCCTAACCCCCGACACCCTGCCGGTGCACGTGCCCCAGGGACCCCAGATCCCTGGACCCACCCAGCGGCAGCACAGCTACCAGGCCAGTAACCCACGTCCGCCACCACAATGTCCCCGCGAGAGCACCGCAAGCGGCTGCTGTAGGACGCACCGACGCGACCCCCCGCCCCCCCAGGGCTCAAGGACCCCCGAACCAGCCCCCACGCCCTGTAGGACGCGCACCACAGCCCCCTACTACACTAATTGATGGAGCCGATCAAGGGAGTCCAGAGAGGTCAGAGGATGCCGATGCTGTCTCAAGATTAATATGATCCAACAACAGATCTCTAAACTGATTGATGCTGAGTTTTTCCTTACTTTTCCAATTCATGAGGATACTTTTCTTTGCAATACATAATGCATTGAAGGCCATGCAAACAATTTTTTTTCCCAGAGAGCTTCCCTCAAAATCACCCAGCAAGCAAACTGAAGGGGAAGGTGAAATTTTACAACCCAGGCGCAGTGATAGGTCCTTACATACCTGTACCCAGAACCTCTGAACCGGCGTGCATAACCATAACGCGTGAATATAATTATCAAGTTGATTGTCTGTGCACTGTGGACAGATGTTAGTGTGCAAAACCCATCGTGAATAATCTTTGATCTTTGATGTGAAAAACATGGTGAAACAAATTAATGCTGTTGTGGTGGGATGGTGTTCCACCCTCCCAACTACACACACCAGGTGTAGTGACTGATTGGGGGGCGGGGCAGATAGCTTTAAAGCTGAGCAGTCCGCTGCGAGGTGCGTGTGCTTTGTTTCCTTACCGTGTGTCGGCTGCCCGAGTGGCTGGTGTGCTCGATCCACTCATCCAAAATAGTAAGTGCCATTTTGCCATCTGGGCTGGGGATTGTTGTCGGGTTCTGGTGCAATACCTGCCGTGCGTTTCTGCAGCGTTGCGCAGCTGGCGTTGGCGGCTGCAGTTGGGGGTTGGTGCAGCGAGCGGCTTCCGTCCGGCCCTCGCCTGCTGATCCGCTCCCTCCCTGGTCGGCTGTGTCACCACATCTGGGTAAGCTACCGGTTTAGAATTTAATTTACCCTTACCTGAATCCACCGTTAACGAGTTTTCTAATTTAGGATTCTTCCGGAGTTGCAGCGCTTGGACGCTCCTGCTGTCTTGTCTGTCTTGCCGGTTTTGTTTGGGCCGCTCTCGGCGGAGCCTGCTGACGCTTGGGCTGGCGGAACGAGCGGGGCACGACTCCTCTGGCCCCGTGAAAAGACATTAGAAGTCGGACAACGACAGTTTGTCCCATCGTTTGCAGTGGTTGTGTTCTTTTCTTTGCCGTTTGTTTGCTTATTATTTAAATTACTAATTTGTTTGCTTTCCTTTGTTTTGATTTACTAATTTGTTTTCTTTTGCATTGCATGATTTGTTTGTTCATTCATTTTTTTGGGAATAATTTAAATTGTCCTTATTTTTGATGCCTTTTCCTTCTAGGGGCTGAGTAGTGGGCCCGAGGCCATGTTTTAAAAGAAAAATGTTTTAATGAAATTTGTTAATAAATCATTGGAGACTACTCCGTGCTCTGGTGCGTCTTGCCTAAAAAAATCTACCTCCTCTGCTGGTCACATTTAGCGTTGCTGGTAGGACTCACCATTGAGCACGGACTTGTCTTTGTTTTTTTATTTTATTTTTTTTGTGTGTTTAGGGTCTTAGCTGTGTTTTTATTCATGATGTTGTAAGACAAGACAGCAGTAGCTATCCAAGGAAGACTTAACTGTGGGTTCAGGATTTATTTTCACTGTTTCTTTTGTTTGTTTGTTATCTCTCGCGTTTCCTTTTGGTAGTCTTCCCCAGTAGGTATGGAGGAGGTGGCAGGCCGCCCGGTGGATGGAGTTGGTCGGCAGAATGTGACGGTTGGAGGTTCGCTGGGCGCTGCTCCTTCCCCGGCTGTGGCTGGTGGTGTCATGCCTGCTGGCGCTGTGGTTGCTGAGCGGTTGGTGGTTGTGCCCAGGGACCGGCGATGTCCCATGTTCGGTGGTAGGACTGGCATTGGGATTGGTGAGTGGATCGAGGAGGCCCAATCATGTATTCGGGCCCGCCACTTGTCAACGGCAGACCAGGCTTTCTTCCTTTTTGATCATCTAGAGGGGGAGGCAAGGGAGGAAATAAAGTACCGCACCAGTGCAGAGAGGAATGATCCAGCTAAGATCTTGGCTATTTTGAGGGAGTTGTATGGTTGCACCGAGTCCTATGTAACTCTTCAGCATGCATTTTTTTCTAGGAAGCAGCAAGAGGAGGAAACACTGTTGCAGTTTTCCCTAGCATTGATGGCCCTTATGGAACCAGTTAAGCAGAATGCTCCTGATGGGTTGTTGAATGCTGATATTCTGCTGCGTGACCAGTTTGTAGAACATGTGTTGGATAGTGCTCTCCGCCGGGAACTTAAACAGTATGTTCAGGGTCATCCCACTGCCACCTTGTTGGATGTGCGTGGGGAGGCAATTCGGTGGGAGAGGCAAGGGTTTCCAGGTGGCGCTAGGGAGCGTAGTCATTCTCTCCCTTCTACATATGGGCTGCAGTACCGGGTGTATGGCAGTTCTCGGCTAACTCCACCTACTGCTGCCTGTTCTGAGTTTAGTGAGTTAAGGGAACTTCTAAAACAGCAACAAGAACAGATTAACCAACTCACCCAGTGTATTGCTTCTCTGCAGACTTCTTTACCACAGGTGCGGCATCCTCGTCCAGGTTCTGTGGTCTGCCACAGGTGCCAACAGCCGGGTCACTTTGCCAGAGAGTGTGATGGTGAGCGGGTTCGTGCCCGGGTTAACTCTGTGGCAAGGCCAGCTAATGTTAACCAGGCGGAAAACTAGCACCCACTGAGCTGTTGAGCCACAACTCAGGTGGGGGAATAGCAGGCTCGCAAACAGCAGCCGCGTCAAAATTGTTGGCATCCTGCCCAGTCATTGAAGTCGTCATGAGTGGTGTCTCTGTTACTTGTTTAGTAGATACAGGTTCCATGGTGTCGACAATCACCGAGAGCTGTTTTCAGGAACATTTTGCATCATTGGGGCATGATGGCCTTCAGTCATGTCACTGGCTGCAGCTTCGGGCAGCCAATGGTCTTTCCATCCCATACATTGGCTATTTAGAGTTGGATGTCACTCTGTGTGACAAAGTGCTTCCTCATTGTGGAATTCTGGTTGTGAAGGACCCCACTAATGTTGGTTCTTCTGTTCCTGGCATTTTGGGAATGAACATAATTAATCGTGTCTACCAAGAACTTTTTGGGGCACATGGAGGCTCTTTTTTTGAATTACCTTCAGTAACACAGTCTCCTGGTCCAGTTGTGGAGGCCCTGCAGCAGTGTCATCAAGCAGCAGCTAAGTCCCCAGCACGGTTGACTGGTGCTGTTAGGGTCCGGGGCCCTCGACCAGTGAGGATAACTGGTGGGGTTATGAAATTTGTAGCTGCAACCTGCCCTGAACAACTTGCTGGTCAGGTTTTATTGTTTGAGCCTCCAGAGTCCGGCTTACCAGCTGGCTTATTAGCCTCTCCATGTCTCATTCAGGCTGTGCACGGTACTGCTTATGTTCCTGTCCTAAATTTTGGAACTACGGATGTTGTACTCTATCCCCGAACTCACCTTGGTTTGTTGAGTCAAACTGAAGTGGTTAGCCTGCCCTGTGATGTGACAGAAATAAGACCCTGTGCTACAGTTTCTTCTCAGGTCGCTCTTGGTCCAGAACAGAGTTTGCTTGATTCTGTTGATTTGTCTGCACTGACAGAAACTGAACAAAGGCAGGTCCAGTCACTTCTACAGAAGTACAGCTCTGTCTTTTCAGCTCATGAAGGTGACTTGGGGTGCACTAATCTGGTGTCCCATGACATTCCCCTGTTGGATGAGGTCCCGGTCCGGCAGAGGTACCGACGTATCCCTCCCTCAGAGTACGAGGCTGCCAAGTCACACATTAATCAACTCCTACAGAACCAGGTAATAAGGGAAAGCAGCAGTCCTTATGCCTCTCCCATCGTTCTTGTTAGGAAGAAAGATGGCAGCCTGCGTATGTGTGTGGATTACCGTCAGCTTAACAGCAAGACGAGAAAAGATGCTTTCCCATTGCCTCGCATTGAGGAAAGCC